GGTGATAATTTTTCTATTGTCAGATTTATGTATTAATATTATGTGCATGAGTATTATTTTTGTGAGTATAATACATAACGGGTGGTCCAGAGAAAAAGAGCCAAATCTTATTTTTGTTTTTTCTTCGTACGATTTCAAATGATTATCATTGTTTTTATACCAAAAGATGCGCCGTGAAATTCTCTACAAGAATATATAAAGATGTTTAATATAAAGTAGAGGTATGAAAAATCCTACCAATTATTTTGCTCAACTCCGGTACGATCAACTTTCTGCACCTATTTTTTTTTGAAAACTTCGGTTATTTTCGTTAGTTTTATTATGAAAAAACGAGTAAACAAGTGTTTCTTCCCTACAAACAAGTGAGCTCTTTATTATAGTGCACGACGTAACCTGTTTGAGCCAATTATTATAGTCAATGAACAACAGATTCCGTTAACTAGATGCAAAGCGATTATAATTTAGTTCATTTTACTCTTTCACTCGAAAGAAAACCAGACTTTAACTTGCTATGTTACCCTACAGTCTAGGGTCTACACTGTGATATTTATATACCCTTCGACGCAACATAATATAAGCTAAAAAGAATTATTTATCGATCGTCATGTATGGACTTTCCAAATATCAAAAACCACTACTGCAAAAATGAATTTTTTATAAAATCTGACAAAAAGAAAAATTTATTTTTTTGTTTATAATGTTAATGAAGAAAGAAGTTTCTACCAGTGAAAGATAGAGTCTTTCAAGCGCTACATAACGGCTGATCACTTCTCGATATATCTCAAAATACAGACGAGTAAAGCATCACAAAACTGTTTACTTTTACTTAAAAAGCGTAGAAAGTTGGGCATGCTGGAACTGTGCAAAACAATTGATAGGATTTTTCATACCTCTACTTTATATTAAACATCTTTATATATTCTTGTAGAGAATTTCACGGCGCATCTTTTGGTATAAAAACAATGATAATCATTTGAAATCGTACGAAGAAAAAACAAAAATAAGATTTGGCTCTTTTTCTCTGGACCACCCGTTATAATCATAGAATTTGTATTTTCTATAGGATCCAGTCACTACTTCATATGTTGTTCGACAATCACAATAATAATAATAATGATGTTAGCCGCATCGATTGTGGTGAATGGTGCCTTAATATTTCTAGTCTTTTTTTCTTGCCAATAGTGAATATCTATTTCTTGTGTTGTTTCTAGATAATATCCTTTGAATACTACGAAGAAGAAATGCATCGATCAAAATAAGTGAAACTTTGTCGAGATCTCTGACAATCACAGAATGAAAATGGTAATAGTGATACTGTCCATGAATCACCATTTACAATGACTTTAGCTAATATCTACATGGTAAGTATCAGAAGTTTTGCTAAGCTCTGTAAATGAATTAAATAACTATTTATATATAGATGTATTGATGTTGTTTTCATGACAACAAACTTACCTCTCAATCAAATCAATAAATTATTCTATAGAGAAAACGTCAGAGATAAAAACATTCTAATTAGCCGATCAACTGGATCATCGATAATCAAGGACAATGGACAACAAAAGTCTTTCATGAACCAGCATTTTTATCTGATCATCTACCTCATATTTATGTCAATAATATTAAAGGGGCCTTATTTCGAACAGTACACCTTTGTTTAAATGTGGAGGGTTTTAACAAAGAACGATTGAACATTGAACTCACGTTATTATTGGACAGCTATCCATTACAATTTATTTCATATCATATTAAACAATTCTTTCAATAAAAAAACGTTATATCAATCATGAAACAATTATATGATGGTCAGTAGTTGTAACTATAAGTTTGGATGAACATGAATTCAGTTTTATCGAGAAGACGCTAACCACGTAAAGGTAGAGAAAGGAAACTAGAACACGCAGCAAGCATGTATTAGCAGTTTCTGCTGAGAGAAGTTTCAGTCAGTTATCGAGAATTAAAAGTTCTTGACAGTCTACAATAGAACAAAACAGGCTAAATTAACTTGCTGTTGCTTATATTTATCGTTCTGATTTATGTGTTAAATTGATTGAAAATACACATAATTAGGGTTTAAGATCTGAGTTTAATGTATCTTTGATTAAAAGAATCTCATTTCATTCTTTTATATTTTTGACTCTGACTCATCCATACGTATACAAATATGAACAATATATGCTTATAATAATATGATTACGCATAACATATTTTCACGTTGCATTTTCATTTTTTCCCACTCTGGTACACTTCCTTCTGCTTTATATAAACAAATGCTTTTATTCTTATTTTCATTCAGTTTCAATTATATATATATTATTCATATATCATTCTCTTATAGTTACGTTTGATTTACCTATTTTCTAATTAGATTAAAACAAAGTAATAGATATTTTACATTGGCAACTGCTTCTATAAATATAATCTATTACATCATCTAAAGATTCCCATTCAAAGAAAAAATTTCAAGGTATGTAAATTTCATTGAATATCTTAATAATACAAGATAGCTGAACAGTACAAGATGAATAGAATAACAATCCCAAACAAAGTTCATATAGAGCTACTATCTAAAAAAATCTTTTTTTTTATTCCAGATATTTTCAAATCATTGTAATGATTATGTAGCCTTCATAAATACACCATCATCATTTACAAGCTATTATGATAATAATACATGAATTGTACAATAGAATATGTTAATCAAATTATTATTTTATTGAATATTTTCTTAGGATTTTGATAACTCAATTTAAATTTCCACGAAGCATCTACTGTTATGAACAATTTGATTTTGATCGATACCATATTTATTCTATATTTCGTTGATGTGCAAATACAGAAGAAAAAAAAAAATTTTTTCTTATCTATCTTTTATAAACAAAAACAAAATATACATTGCAATATATTTATTCATATTCACCACTAAACAACTATTCCTCCCACATATATTAATGCGTAGTATAGATTAAAGTTTACATTCCTTCTTATAGATATAAATATTCATTATTTTTTATATAATATTCATATTTTATTATAGCTAACATATAAGTAAGTACCAACTATACTCTTTCTTACTTTCGAACAATAAAGACTATATATTTTAATATTATTTTTATTAAGTACAACTTCACCAACATCATCAAGCCAAACAACATTCATGAACAAACGCTTTCTTCAATATTTACATTTTTTTATCATACTTCAAGCATATTACTTTATATAATTATTGATTCCAACAAACCATTGTCAACATTATCAAAAAGTACAGTAACTTAATTATCATACCTTTACCGAATAAATATTAACTTTTCTTAGTTTAATTTAAGATCTAACAAATCTATCAAACTAACATTGAACGTATTATACTCTACAGACTTCAGTATGTTAATCAATTAATCTGAAATAATATTACATTTATCAAAAATATAACAATTTATTATTCAGGTAAACCTTTTTTAAAATTAGAATCTTTCAATAGTCATCGTTCAGACACGAAAGATATACACAAATCTAACTACTATCAATTCATATTTAACTTCTACCACATAGCCTTAGTCTATATTTCAAAGAGAATCTAAATTAACATATCAGAGCAGTATCTATTTCAACTGAACTCTGATTAAATAGATATCATCAAAATAAATCTTTACCTTAATAGACAATAAAATAACGAAGAAATTGTATCCTCCGCATTAATTATAACTTCAAAAATAGCAACAACAAATCTACATTTTAAGAATTCACTTCAACTCCAACATAATAAAACAACAACATCAAGTAAAACCTAAACATCACCCATGAGAGAATATAAATATATTCCAACAATAGTATAGAACTACATATTAAAACAAAACCTTTTCTACTACCTCTAGATTTACATATAGATACTAGTTTCAGTCATGCAAATATAGAAAAGATTACCATCTGATGATTTTTCTCCCTTTAATAAGGAAGAATTCCGGAATATGATAGTTAATTGTTTAAACACATCCACGCCCTCAAGAGAGAAAATTCGTATCAATTACTTACGAGAAACTTATTTTAAAATATTTTATTGAGTAGACATGATTTCGCACGATCTGAATTGATAAAACTTACTCAATGTATTAGAAATAATCATTCTACCCACCTCACGCATGGAAAAAACTTTATGATCTTCTTTGAAACAGTTTTCGTTATATTTCGTTTTATACATCTACCACACTCTATATCTTTCAAAACTTTATTTTATTTTCTATTGAATACAACTTACGAATTCTACAATTTTGTAAAATTTAGTTTAGTTTTACCTAAATCTTAATTCTGCCTGACACATATACGTACACATTGGAGAAGTGACAATACCAGACGAGACCGAAAAAAAATGTCCACTGTTCAGAATAAAGAGATGTTCATATTGGAGAGACGCATTTCCATCAAAAATCGCTCCATCGGACCTGAGACCGTTCATAAAACAGAGAATTTCACTATCGAAGGGTGTTCAACATGAAAGGTTTTATACTATATATTAAAACAAAAATGGTTGACTCAACATTAGCCCAGGTGGATTAATATACGGATGAATGGTTAATCTTGGTGAATTATAAAAGTACTACATCAGTACGTTGAATGTTATTATCGTTGAATTAAAGAATAGTTAGGGAGAATTTGAAGTCATTTTATTGTCAGTTTAAACAGATATTATTTAATTGAAATTACATTCTATTTTAATTCTAAATATATCAACTAAAACTAATCGAATGATTCAAAACCCAATATAACAATTGTGTCAAAAATAAAAAGATAATTTAATATGTACTTTTTCTTAAAACTTCATCTTATTCTATATAATGAAATAAATAGAGATTCATGGTTATAAGGACAATTTATTAGTTAAGAAATAAAAATGAGATATTAGTATGAAGTTGAATAATATGAGATTAGTAATTAAAGATAAAAATAAAAAGTATGGTTAGTTGAAAAAAGAAAAGGTGTTTCTATTGTTCAGTTAAAATTTGATTTCAGATGATAGGCATATCTGTTGTTGTCTTCTTTCGAAATACAACTCGCCAATATTCTAAACGTCCCTGACTCATGTCTTCATAAATTTCAGTACCAGGTAATCCAGCAAACCGACGAAAATATTCTTGTTCTTCGGGTTGAATATAACCCTGAATGAAATCAGTACGAGATTTATTTTGAATGTCAAGTGCATGAAGAACATTCTTTGTAATATCAATCTTTTCTTCAATAATTAATTTATCATTTTCTATCAGATCATAAACTGATGTACTTGATCCATTCATGTAACAAAAATCACACCATAGAAGATATCCATTTGGGCGAAGTACACGAGCGACTTCATTGGCAAATTGTGTGATTGATAGTGGTTCGTCAAAAGCATGTGTTGCTTCAATACAAAGAACAATATTGATTGACTCATTTTCGAATGGTAAATGTTTTGTTGCATCCGCTACTACGAAAGAAAGTCGTGGAGTTGTCGAATAAAGTCGTTGACATAAGTTAATGGCATCTTGAGAAGGATCTATTCCAATGTAAGAGTGAGATGCATGAGTATGAACACACCATGCAGCACCAGCACCTCTACCACAATTAATTTCAAGCACATTCTTATCTGTTAATGTCACATTTGCAAGAACCTAGAAAATGAAACAAAATATTTCAATCATGACTTGTACATCGAGAAAGTCATGAAATTTTCGATCTTTCTTTGTATATCAACTCGACTATATGTAAATAAGTTGATTTGAATGATTTTCTCTTCATATTTAGAGTATAGAGCATTTAAAAAAACAATCTTATGTTCATATCCATACAAATTCCTTATAAATCAAGGGCAATAACAACCTCTGTTGATAGTCGATGCGACGTAGGGCAAAAAAGAAACACTAAAATAGAGTCTTGTATTCTTTTGTACATACCTGTTCATAAAGCTTTCTTGAATAATAGCCAGTATGATCATCGCTATATTCATCCATATCTGCATAGCCATAATTCATAAATTGTAATTCGTTTATACTCGTATAGATGCTTGCAATTCGTTCGTACCAGAGAAACAATTTGTTAATGGTCTCGTATCCCTGCTGATATTTTACTGGATCATTATGAGCTATTGTTGATCGAGATAATCTTGCTTTTATTGTGCAAGATTCTAGAAGAGAGAGATTTAATATAATAAAACTTTTAAAAGATAAGATATCAGAGTACATATATAAGAAAACGTATGATAAACATAAAAAAGTGTAAGATTAGTATCAATATGCAATCTTATAAAGATCTTTGATGTGTACTTTTTTAATTTTCCAGATTAATTATAAAACTAATTAGTTTAACTAGAGTGTAAAACGTTACAAATGCGGTACTTTGTCGTATCTTATATTTAAGAAAAATATTGATTGTCAATTGATTCTGTGCCGCAATAACAATCTAATAAAACTAGTTCATTCAAAAGATTCCATGTATAGTACATCGTATGTTATGGTCAATGGAATAGTTTAGAAAATAATCTAGTGCCAGTGAAAAAAATGATTTTTATTATAGCTTGCTAGCAGAAGATCTAGAAAATGTTATACGCAGTTTAGCTTCTTATATCAAACTACTGTATGATCATTCGTAAGAACAGTATATCTCACTAAAAAGAAATGACAGGATATAAAAAATGAATATCACTAACGACTAGATAATATCTTGGAGGTGTTACATGAGAGCAGATCATCTGTGTGAGTGACTTACGTGCAGGAATCCCTTTCCAATGAGTATTCGGTGATAACTGATCATTTTTCATTATCAGTGTCCCAGGATAAAGACGATTGTTACCCATTAGTTTGCAGCCTGCCATTACATTTGAGCCACTCATCAGTATACATGAATTACCGATTGATACAGGAGCTACCTTTAAAATACGTTGTTCGAAACTGTGACCCTTAAAAGATTCAGAAAAACAATTTTATCTGACAGTAAATAACAAAAAACGTATGTATTACCTGTATCTGTGTAAGGGCATTAAGTCGAACATCATCTCCAATAGTCATCAAATGATAATCGGTAATACTGAATATAGTAGGCATTATGGTATTTTCACCAATATGAGCGCCGTACGCTCGAAATAGTCGAATGAGCCATTGCGTATTACCAAGAAATGGACAAATAAATTGTTCATGATCTGGAATCACTCTTGCTATTATTTGTTGTACAATTTCATGACGCTTATTTGAACGACATCGATAGAGGCCACAGACAAGTATTGTATGAATGATTGATCCACTAACAAGACCACCAAACGAATAAATGCTTAGTAAAAGACATTTACTGACATAATGAGACAAGCACGTATGCCAAAATGGTATGATTTCGATCTGATCTTGGTTTTTTGGCGTTACAGGCATTTGAAATGGCATTGTACGAGCCGGAACACCCATGAAAACTTCTCCGTATTTGCTTTTTGTTTCTCGTGAGATGCGTGTTAAATTGCCAATCATTGTCTCAGATGCAAGACAGCTACCAGGCAAGATTGAACATCCATTCCCAAGGTTTGTATAAGATCCAAGCACTATTTGATCTACACAATGATTACCTGAGAGTGTCAACTCAGTAGGAACTATTAAGACTCCACCAAAAGTAGTAACACCTGTTTCGAGTTTTAATAGATTTGTTGGACAGGATAGAAAAGGTTCTATGTCAGCGATTTTGACATTCTCTTCAATATGAGCACCTAACCAACGAAGAATATAAGGATAAAGATAATCGTAGCCACTTGATAATAGCCAAGCATGATGAAAACTAGATACAATTAATTGGCGAAGCCATATCTTTTGTAAATATAACTTAGATGCTATCGGGTATATTTCATTAGCAGTGCAGGGTCCTACTATGAATTTTAAGAGGACAAGCGAAATAAAACAACCAATAATTGACCATAAAGTCCAACAAAAAGCAATACTGATGAGTAGTGGTATTTGTCTCATTGAATAAACTTTATATACTATGATCAAAAGTATATAATGAATACAGATTATCGAGATGATTACAATAATTTGGTAGATCTTATGCCATATAGAGAATGATCTGTTACTCTGCATAGTGGAGATATCTGACGGAAGAGATTTGTGTTCTTCACCATCAATAATCATTTCAGATGCGACGAAGCCAGTGACCGATGACATTGGTTGGACAATAATATTATTCTGCATATCAACTTCATCAAATAGAATTGATCGTGCACCGATTGAACAATTAGATCTAATTCTAATTGGACTCAGTTTGAAAGTGTCGTCGTCATTAAAATATAAACAATTTAAATACGTCTTACTAGCAATCCAACATTCATCATCAATTTCTAACAACCATGGAGCATCAATAGCTGTGGTATAAATATGTGTGTTGAGACTTATTCGCGCACCACAAAGACGAAGATAATAATTGTAGAGTGGTGTGCCAAGTGTATGCTGCAACCAAAATGTATTATTATTCCAAAGTCGATCTAAAAACCACCATCGATAATAACTCCAAGAGAAGATACGATCAGTTTTGATGTGGCATGGTGAGAATAAACGTAAGCAGATGACATAGAATAAAAGATGAAAAGCTGGTAAGACAGGAAAAAGGAATGGACACCATCGATGAATTATTATAATTGGCCATAACCATTGACAAACAAGAAATACAATACCAACAGATTCTATAACAAACGAAGGTAAAAAACGAGCATGTGTTTCATGAGATTGATTGGCTGTGAATACTGTCTCTTGTGATTGATCGGAAATCAACAAAGGTTCTATTGCTGTAGCCAATTGTCGAATAGATGGATTAGCAAATAAAAGACCAATGTCAACTTTATTACAAATCTGCTGACGAATCAATGTCAATGCAAGAATAGCGCCCAAGGATGTTCCACCAAGTTGGCCGAAAGAAACATCAACATGAGGCGATTCAATATGAAAAGCTTGACTAAATATATTTTGTAACTGTTGTTCTAAGGTGTTGCGCGGTATATTATCATCATGATTACCACTTGACGATGAAAAATCAGGTGACGGTAGACGCTTTCGATCTACTTTTCCATTTGGATTCAATGGTAATTTCTCAAGTATAATAAATATTGATGGTATCATATGTGGTGGAAGATGAGATTGACAATGTTCACGCAATTCCTGTTCATTGATGTCAGAACTCTGAACATATGCAACTAAATAATCATCATTCCATTTCATGACAACACAAGTAGATATAGATGTAATGTTAAATAAACATCGTTCGATTTCACCAAGTTCAATTCGTTGTCCACGTAATTTGATTTGATGATCTTTTCTTCCTTGATAGTGGAGGAGACCATTGCTATCCATTCTAACAAGATCTCCTGTTCGATAATATATTTTATTATGGATATCGATGAATATTTTTGCTGTTAAATCGTCACGTCCAAGATAACCAACAAAGACACCGGCTCCTCCTATACATAGCTCTCCTTCTTCGCCAATAGAAACAGGTTGTAAGTATACATCAAACACCTTGCATTGGTAATTAGCAAGAAGATTGCCTATAGGAACATCCAAATGATCAGCGATGGATTCAATAAGATAAGTTGTCGATAGCATTGTTGTTTCAGCCGGTCCGTATACATCCCACATGTAGCATGTCTTCTCCACGTAATGCTTGAGATGATATACCAACTTTTGAGAGACAATTTCACCTAGAAATTTAGAAAAAGGTTGTATAAATGTTTTTTTTGTATATTTTACTAACCGCCAATTGAAAGTGATCGCATTGTAACTAAAGGATTACTATTATAATTTTTTGCAATAAAATCACAGAAACTATACAAGAAACTAGGGACAGCTCCCATATACGTAATTTGCTTGTTTTCCAGTGTATTTGCAAAATATAAAAAATCCATATTCCCGTAAGAATGTAACATGACAACGGTCGCGCTTGAAAGTAAGGCACCAACGATTTCTAGAACATGTGCATCGAATGTAGAAGCAGAAACTTGCATCACAGTATCACTTTCGTTGATAAAGTCAATGTACTGAAGGGAATACATGAAACTTAGAAGATTTTTATGTCTCGTTTGAGTCTAAAAAACAGAAGAAATGAAACATATAATTTAGAATGCAGCAAAGGCAAACCGCTTTCGGAACGCCAGTTGAACCACTTGTGAAGATGATGTAAGCTATGTTGTCAGATGTAACGTTTATACTTGATAATTGATCAATATCAGTATTACTTTTCATATTGTTGTTAGTCAATACTAAATCAGTATTTACTGGAACGATATTATCATCAACCTTATTTATTGTAAAACGATGAACAAGAACAAGTCGACTTCTTGTTTGTTCTATGAGTGTATACAAGCGATGTTGTGGATCTCGAGACGATAATGGACAATAAACACCACCAACCATTGCAATTCCCATAATACCAATCACCTAGTCAAAATCAATCTCAAACTCTCATTAATAGTTATTTCTCCTGTTTAACTTACCATTGAAAGACTTCGCTCAACACACTGACATACCACTTCACCTGGAGTGATTAGATAATCAGTAAGAAGAATTAAAGATAAGACTTGGACATAATGTAAAAGTTCAGCGTATGTCAAAGATTGTTCATCTAATTCAACAGCTAGCTTTTGTGGATGTTTCATTACTTGACATACAAATTCATGATGAATACAAGTGACAGATGATGAAAACGATACTTCCGTATTGTTCATTGATTGCATGAGTAATTTCTCATTTGGTAATGTTAATGATATTTCATAGATTGACTTATTCATTTGATCATCAACAGATATAAAGAATTGCTTCAAGATTGAATGAAATCGTTGAGATATCTTATCAATTGTTTCTACATTGAGCAAATCAAGTGATGCATTGATTGTGCATGAGAGTTGATTGACATCGAGATCATGTTCAATTAGAAGTGAGAAATCATATACATTTGTAATCTCATCATCGTTAATTTTTATTGTAGAAGATATGAAAGAAAGTTGACTATCACCAATCATTATTAGTTTATTGTCACTTCTTGTCATAGATGATAGAAACTGAAATGATATATCAAGAAATGCAGGTTTTGAAACATTTGGATGTTGTTTAAGAATACGTTGAAGAGGAAAATATGAATATTTCATACTGTTTGCTGTTATCTCTCCAACATAATCAAGTAGATAATGCAAAGATGCATAAGGATCCAATTGACATCGTAATGGAATAACATTTTCAAACAGCCCAATGATTGATTTCAGTTCACCTTTATAACGGTTGTCGATATTCATTGCAATACATAAATCTTTTTCTCCATTCGTTAATTTGAATAAAAACACATAATAAGTAGCAAGTGCAAGTTGTTCAAGTGATATGTTATTTGCTAATACATAAGTGAGAAAGTCATGTGAGAGATCTTGACCAAAATCAAATGAAACAGATGTTCCACGACCACTTCGATGCTCATTTGAGAGACGATATCGATCAAATGGTAATGATAAGGACTGATTAAGTTTACAATCATGAAGAGCATCAAGCCAAAACATACTTGCACCGGTCATTGACATTTGTTGTTCAATAAGAGCATCTATTATGTAATTAAAGCAGACAACATGTTAGAAAAAAGAAAACTACAAAAATATGTTAATATTTACAATCAATATAACGCAGATTAGTATTGTCATCATATAATAATTGATCTGTTGTATATGCTTGATTAAGATCATGAAGAAACAGTTGCATTGATGGATTGTCAAACAAAGCATGATGAAAGTTGAAAATAATTATGTCTTGGTCAGAAAGAAGATGATTTGGAGAGATTTGTTTATAGTAAACAAGATGACATCGAAAGACAAGACCTTGAGCAAGATCAAAAAGTTGAAGATTGTATTTCTCTTCATGTATGATGTCATTGAGTTGTTCCTGTGTTTCATAAGTGCTTTCAATCAATGTAAAAAGTTGTCCACTATTGTCGTTCATATCAGTGATTCGTTGCATGATTAGGTTCTTTTCTGTGTCGAAGAGAAGTGATGTATGAAGTGATTGATGTTTTATGACAATTAACTGGAGAGAATAACGAAGATGGTGTGCTGATAGAGTGTGATTATTTTGTAGATGATAAACAAAGGACATGTTGTAGATCGGTACTGGTGATCTGTAAGGAGTGAGATGAATAGATTCATTATGGTATAGTCGAATTTGTGCGAATGATGCTGGTGCTATATGAAAGAGAAAGCAATCAAATATGATTTATGATATTGCTTGTAAAATCTATTTTGTGCGAGTTTTAATCATTATCCAATAACTCCACCAATAAGTGTGGGTGTCAGTCGGTAAGAATGTAGATGGGTAGATGGGTTTATCTATATGTTTAAAGAATCCACACTCACATCTGCTCACAGTCTCACTAACACCTTGTGGTTGAGTGCTGGTTCTCGGATAATCCGAGGTATATAAAAACATATCTTCGATGATATCTCTGTACAATGTATTCATTGTCAATATAAACGTTCATTAAGAAAAACTTAATGTCTAATTAAACATACCTTCATTTCTAATATGTGATTGTCGACAAAAGATAATATCTTTCGCTTCTTGAGTTTCTTCTGGTAGAACAAGATTAATTTTCGATAAAGATGTAAAACATGTATCAACTCGATTGATAGTTTCATTCGATAAAAACAGTTGTTGAAAACAATAATCTAATCTTCGACCTATATTTGTAACTGTAGTTTCATTAAACAAATCATGTGAACAAGCTAAACGAAATGATAATCTATTATTTTCCAATATTGGATTATAGATAAATGTTAACATAAAATCAAACTTAGCCACTTCAAACGATTGTTCGAATGACACTTGCTTGAAACATGCTCCATCCAAAGATAATTCATCGCTGTGTGATGATATAGTAATGAAGTCATAGATTGTTTCGAGAAATGAAATATTTAATTGATTAATACGTAAATTGGCAAGAATATGTTGAAGTGGGTAATGTGAATGTTCAAGAATTGATAAACATTTCTCTCGTACATATTTAACAAGCTCATCAAACGAACAATGACGATCAAGTTGAATACGATATGGTAATGTCGAAACAAACATTCCCATTATATTCTGCAATTCACTTTTATATC